CGAGGACCCAGGCCCGGGGTGGGCAGCACACGACCCTCTGCTCAGGTCCCAGGACAGGTGTCTCTTCGTAGAAGACCCAAGGGGCCGTGAGGAGGCCGACAGAGCTGTTCCCGAGGCGGGTGCTTCCTCTGCTCCCCCAGGAAGGGGATCTCGGTGAGCCTGGGGACCAGGAGGGCCCACCGCCACCCCCAGGGATAGCAGGGGCTGGTCCGTAGTGCTCATGGTGGTTACTACTGGGGACCAGGCCTACGGGGCCCAGAAGACTAGGAGGGGGATCCAGGTGGGCCCACCCCCACCCCCACCCCAACCCCCAGGGAGAGCAGGGGCTTATGGTGGTTACTGCTGGGGACCAGGCCTCCGGGGCCCAGAGGACCAGGAGGGGGATCCTGGTGGGCCGAGAGACGAGGTGGGCCCACCCCCACCCCCAGAGACAGCAGGGGCTTGTCCGCAGTGGTTATGGTGGTTATTGCTGGGGGACCAGGCCTCCGGGGCCCAGAGGACCAGGAGGGGTATCCAGGTGAGCCGGGGGACCAGGTGGGCTCACCCCCACCCCCACCCCAGGGACAGCAGGGGCTGGTCTGCAGTGCTCATGGTGGTTACTGCTGGGGACCAGGCCTCCCGGGCCCAGAGGACCAGGAGGGGGATAGTAGGGACGGTGGTTAGGTTCACATTGAAAAACATCCCTATTCTCCTTTATCCTGCGAGTTTGTGAAAGTATTTTCGGGACCTGGCATCTTCACAAGCCCCAAGGGTTATTCTTGGAGGCGCCAGAGGCTCCAGGTTTCTTGGGAGAGTCTCGGTTTAGGGCCGCGGCTCAGGTGTTAGTGACGCGACCTCCTTGTCCGCTCAGGAGTCTCAGGCTTTGGGCAATAACCCGCAGCATCACCTACGTGAAGCCCACGGAACAACGGAGAGGTATTTTTTTTCTTAATTGTTATTTATTTGTTCTTTTGAGATTTTATTTCTGTGTTTGAGAGGGAGGGAAGGGGAGCAGAGGCGCAGGGAGAAGCAGCCACCTGTCCCTGGGGCGACCCCGAGGTCAGACAGTGCAGGCCGGGCCGGAGGGAAGGTGCTGCAGCAAGTGGCACCGGGACTCGGCCGGTGGGAGCTCGGAGCCATGGTCCGGCTTGCCCGGGTGCACAGGAACACGCACTCATGCAGGCTAACCGCCGGCCTTGGTTGGGGTACAGGGATGCAGGCACCTGAGGCTGCACCTGCTGCCCCCGGGCACCGGGTGGACCCTGCAGCTGGGGACTTGTGGGCCTCCCTGGGGGCCTGGAGCCAGTAGGGTGGCTCCCCCACGCTTATTAACTTACGAAGGAAAGACCTCGAGTGATTGGGGTCGTGGAGTGCATCGCTGAGTTAAGATTGAGCTTAATGTAAAAAAAAAAAAAAAAAGATTGAGCTTAATGGGTTTGGTTTTTTTCCCCCCAAGAAACTATTACACAAAGTCTGAATCAGTTGTTGGGTCCTCGCTAAATCCAATACCAAGCAGACACAACACAGGCACTTTTTTTTTTTAAAGATTTTTATTTATTTATTCATGACAGACACAGAGAAAGAGGCACAGGCAGAGGGAGACGCAGGCTCCATGCAGGGAGCCCAAGGTGGGACTCGATCCTGGGTCTCTAAGATAATGACCTGAGCCAGGGGCAGGTGCTCAACCGCTAAGCCCCCGGGCCTGCCCCATTCATTCATTTATTTATTTATTTATTTATTTATTTATTTATTTATTTATTTATTTATTTATTTAAATTTTATTTATTTATTCATGAGAGACACACAGAGAGAGGCAGAGACACAGGCAGAGGGAGAAGCAGGCTCCATGCAGGGAGCCCGAGGGAGGACTTGATTCCAGGTCTCTAAGATCATGACCTGAGCCAGGGGCAGGTGCCCCGCCGCTGACACCCCCCCTCCCCCGGGATCCCTCCACCCCAACCCCGGGTCTTATTTAAACCTCCACGATGTCTGAGCCACTAGTTCTGTGTGTCCCACCTCCCGCGCATGGCTCCCCTTCCTCCTCGGCCCTCCCCCCTCCCCCCCCCCCCCCCCCCCCCCGGGCTTGGTACTCCTGATGGCTGCACCTGCGCGCCCCAGGCCGCAGCCCCCAGGTGGCCGCCCCGGGCCGCTGGCCTTCTGCGCTCCCTCCCCCCCCCCCCCAACGTCCGGCCACCTGCTGGCAGGTTCAGGGGGACGGGCCGGGGCTTCCCTGGCTGTGCGGCTGGGAAGGGGAAGGGCCTCGGAAAGGGGAAGCGTTCAGGTCATCCGGGAGCCTAAAAACATCTTTCTTGGGGACCCCTGGGTGGCTCAGCGGTTTGGCGCCCGCCTTTGGCCCAGGGCGTGATCCTGGAGTCCCGGGATGGAGTCCCGCGTCGGGGTCCCGGGATGGAGTCCCGCGTCGGGCTCCCCGCATGGAGCCCGCTTCTCCCTCTGCCTGTGTCTCTACCTCTCTCTCTCTCTCTGTCATATGAATAAATAAATAAAAAATCTTAAAAAAAAAGAATAGCTTAAAAAACATCTTTCTTATGGGAATATTAGGAAGTCTTATTTTCAGGGAATAAATGGATGGGGAAGTTAAAAAAAAATGGGAAAACCAGTGTCTACTTAGTAGGCCGTGAGCCTAGACCTCGGACACCCGAGAATAAGCCGCTTCGGCTCCTGTTGGACTAAGTCCAAGTCAGAGAGAACGGACCCGCCCGATTTCCAGACGCATCGTGGCCTTGCGTGGGCTCGTCCTGCTGCGTGGTCGTCGCTGCGGGTGGGCCCTTAGGGCTGGGCTCCCACTTGTCACGTTCGGGGCTGCGAGGTATCCCCCCGCGAATCTCAGTGCTGTGTGGGGAGGCGGGTACATGCGGCGGGGCGTCCGCCGGGGCCACGGGGCGGTGGCGGGAGCCGTCCAGTGCTCAGGGCGGGCTCCTCCGCACCTTCCACCGAGGCCTCCGGGATTGCAGGCCCTCTGCTCCCCCCCGCCCCGCCCCTGCACTCCTTCCGTCCCGTCCACTGCTCAGGGCGGGCTCCTCCGCACCTTCCACCTAGGCCTCCGGGATTGCAGGCCCTCTGCTCCCCCCCGCCTCGCCCCTGCACTCCTTCCGTCCCGTCCACTGCTCAGGGCGGCCCCTCCGTGCCTCCACCACGGCCTCCAGGATTGCAGGCCCTCTGCCCCCCTCTCCTGCCCGCCCCTGCACTCCTTCCGTCCCGTCCACTGCTCACGGCAGGCTCCTCCGCGTCTCGCACCGTGGCTGCAGGCCCTCCGCCCCCCGTCCGCCCGCACAGCCCCCCACAACCCGCGGCCACTGCGCAGGTGCAGCCAGGCGGGAGCCCACAGCCCACATGTCCCGGCCCCGAGGCGAGCTTGTGGGGGTGACGGTGCGCCCCAACTGCGCTCCCCGGCCCTTCGCCCCTGCCCGGGGGACTCCGGAGGCCGCTGCACGGGCGTCTCTGACTTGGGGGCACATGTTATTTTCGGTTTGCAGATCCCCCGCCCCCAGGTCCGTACCGCCCCCGCCCCTCCCCCGCCCCCCGCCCCTCCCCCTCCCCTCTCCTCCTTGGCGTCGGTGCTACCATCGCGCCCCGAGGACTCGGTGCATCCTCTACCCCCAGGTCCGTTCTGCTAAGGACACGCAAGTGCGTTTGCAGAGCTTCTGCGTTTGCAGAGCTTCAAAAGAAGAGACGCCCTCCGGGGTGACAACCGCTGCCTCCCATTACGGAGAACCGTTATTATCATTATTTAGATTTCATGCATTTATCCGTGAGCCACAGCGAGAGAGGCAGGGACCCAGGCGGAGGGAAAAGCAGGCGCCCTGCGGGGACCCGGCGCGGGACTCGAACCCGGGCCCCGGGGTTATACCCTGGGCCGCAGGCAGGTTCTTCTCGGCTAGGCCGCCGGGGCCCCAGGTGTGTCGCCCTGATGTGGGTGTGATGGGCTCAGCTCAAGGTGATGCGGGGTCCGCGAGGGTGCACTCCCTCCCCTGCTCCCCGGGCAGCAGCCTCGTTCTCTATCTCTGCTCCCACCTGGGGTCAGGCTCCTGGGCGTCTCTATCCTGGAAGCTGCGCGGGACCAGCGGGGGGCGGGGGCGCTCGCAGGGTCCTTGCTGCGACTCCCTCTGCGCCCCAGGGTCTGCGGCAGCAGGTTGTGCCTAATGAAGCACTGAGAAGACCTTGCCAGTACCTCATCTCGGAAAACCAGATCAGCACCAAATACATTAATTAAAATCTAAACAAAAAAAAAAAAAGAAAAGGATCATCCAGAAGTATTTGCTACAGCTGCACTTAAACGTTAGGGGACCCAAGGCCATGGTGCAGGTCTGTTAACGTCGTGGGGTATTGTGCTGAGGTGGTTTTCCTGCTGGTCTCACTTATATGATAATTTTTATTCATCTAAATATTACTTACAATTGGAGACTGCTTCTTTAAGTAGAACATGTAGCAAATAAATGATTTTGAACAGTACTAAGCAACATGTACAATTTCTAAGGGAAATGCTTCAGCTGTGGGTTATGAATTGGGAGGTATAAAAATTCTCAGAATTACTCTAAGACAAACTAAGAGATCTAAAGAATTGGGGTGAAAGAAAAATGAAAAGTATTAAGGAAAAATCACCTTTAGAAAGGTTGCCTCATTTTCTATGAATTGTGTCTTATTATTTTTTTCAACCATTTGTCTTTTGGGAGCAAGGATCTTAGCCTGAAAAGCTGGCAAAATGTATATATTAAGGTATCTTGAGTTCCACTTAAATAGAAGTAGCTTTCACATTGGGCTTAGTGATGGGCTCGGATCATATTTATTCTACCACCTAGTTTGTTTCTCACCGGAGGTTGCAGAAAGCTCAATTTGCAGGACTAGATGGAGAAATAAAGTTGGGCAAAATTCCTCTACTTTGATAAAAACTTCCATTCAGGAGACAGTGACTGGGGTTCAACAGCAATTCAACATTTTTACTATGCCAGTTCCTGGAGAACATGTACGATCTTGAAAGATGAACATACCGGGTATAAGTAAAGTCATTTTTTTAAAATTTTATTAGTACTGTTTACCAATGGGGAGATGCAGTTTATTTACACCAGCAGCCACAGGGGCAAGGGGAATACACAGTTAGCGATCTGTATAGGATGGACCACTTATGCAAAAATAATAATCTCCAAAACAAAGGACAGAGGTGAGCCTCACTACACTTCCCCGATGACCCCAGCATGCGACAACGCCAGGCACTGGCCCCTGCACATGCGGTGGTGGGAACTAATGTACGGAAGAAAAAGCCATGAACCACAGACGTCTGTAAAGAACCCCTTCCCCCCATACCCATACACACACACACACACACACACACACACACACACACACACACACACTCGGATACGTAATAGAATTACAGGGTGATCAATATACTTAATTGATTAAGGAAGGGCAGGAATTCTGCTGTTCGAGGGAAGGCAGGAAGGGAAAGGGAGAGTTCCTAACCACGGTCAACTACGGGCGGGAGCGCTCCCGCCCCAGAAAAGGAAGGGGTCCGTGTGTCCCCGCAGGGCTCCTATTGGACCCGGCCAGGCCGTTGCCCCAATAACGGGAGGGCAGAGAACGAAAACCATGACCAGGAGGGAGGCAAAGTGAAGCAACGGTTACTGAGAATTGCTTTCCACCTCTCCCTCCCTAACCAGGAGGCTGACCGGCAAGGGGCAAGGGTACAAGGGATCTCCGTCAGAGCTCCCCCCCCTCACCTTACCCGCAGCCGGTTTCCCTCCGGCCCCTCTGCAGCCCCCTGCAAGGAGACGGCTACAAAGCCAAGGGCAGATAACCCCAAATCGTTTTAACTCTTGCCGACCTTTAACTTCCCAAAAAGTCAGCAAAATTCTTGAAGACAACCGGTTAGGACACCTCAACCCCGACCAGGACAACTCTGGGGGGGTGGGGGGACACGCAATGACCGACAGTCTAGCGGCCCTATCGGTTCCCTCGAGGGCTCTGCGTGACACCCATCGGCGGCACGGTCCAAGCAGGTCCTCCCGGGATGAGGAACGGTACCTGCACAGCAAGGGCTGGCAAACCAGACCAGGCCCCGCTCCACCCCTGCGTGGCGCGCTCGGCGTCCCTGCTCTCCGGCTTAGGCCCTGAGGCGGCATCCTAGTGCAAGGGGGGAGGTGCAGGGGCCCCCGAAGGGAGACCCGCAGGGAGGCATCCAAGGCAGTCCTGCAGGCAGATGCCTAGGCGGGGCCCTGCCTTTCCTGCACAAATCGTTTACCCACTCTCCCATCTTCATCCCCACAGAGGAAACCACCTGAAAGGTTCTTCTCTGTATCTCCCAGAACAAGGAAGGGGAGAGAAAAAAAAAAAAAAGGAAAAACTTGAAAGAAGCCGAGGAGAGGGCACCTGGGCAGGTTGGAGCGGGAGCATGGAGAGATGAACTGCAGCTGGCCGGTGTGGAAGCAGGGGAGCCGGCAGCACCTGGGGTCCAGCTGCACTGGACGGGCAGGGGAGCAGGGGACAGTGGGGACACGGGGCCGGGCCAGACGGATGAGGCTGGCCCCCGTGCTAGGGCACAGAATGAGGTAAGAAAACATTTCAAATAAAGCAGCACCGTTCCCGCTCACTTTGGGGTTCTCGACCCTCTACACTTCCTAAGTCCTCAGCAGGGAGCAAAGTGGAGGGTGGCTTTGAGGCGTGGCTCACGTTTCCCATCCTGGCCTGTCCCGACCCCGACTTCCCACAAGAAGGCAGCTCTTGTCAGGAATGTCCAAAAGGGACTGAATGGAAGGGGCCGCCCCTCCTGAGGGGCAGGGGTGGCGGTGAGAGTCTAGACAGATGCTTGCGGTCACACTGCTTGGGCTGACCGGCCCGGATGGGGCGGCCCCGGGGATGCTGCAGCCGGAGGACAGGTGACCCCTCCCTGCCCCCCGGCCCCGGGGACTACGCCGTCAACCTGGAGGGCCGCTGGTAGAGGCCGCCCTGGGCCCCGCTGTCCAATCGGTCTGCTGCACAGCGTCTGCGGCGCTGGTCACTGCGGGCCGCCCCCGGGGACGCAGGAGGCCGGTGGGGACCCGGCGGGCTGCCTGGGCCAGACACACGGGCGGGCGGGTCGGCCGGGGGCTCGGCCGCGCAGAGCAGCGCATATCCGGGCGTGAACCTGTGGGGCGGGGGGTGGGGGGAGGGGGTCGTGCACCGCTGCAGAGGCCCCGCTACCTCCCCAAGGCACCGGGGCCAGAGCCTCGGCCTGCCGGGCCACCAGGCTGCCCACCGGACGGGGGGCAAGCGCTCGGCCCCGGTCCCCACGGCGTCCGCGGCTGGCGTGGACGTCCTCTCCTGCCTGCAGCCGGGGCCGCGGGGCTTCCCCTCCGGGACCGGGCGGCGGTCCTTCTCCTTGGCTTGCCCCGCGTTGGGGCTGGCAACGCCCGGACCTCGCGCCCGCCGACATCCCGCGTCCAGGAGGAAGTGCCGCAGGAAGTCCCGGCCGGGCTCCTCCCCCGGGCGGCGCGGGGGGCCCCGAGCACCGGCTGCGCCCCAGCCGCGCGCCGTCTTCGTCGTCCTCCGGGGGTCACCCCTGCAGAGTGATCCCAACCCTTGCGTCCTACACGCGGGGCCTTCAGAGGCTGGGACGCTTAGTGCACGCCGGGCCTTGTCACCTGCCGTGTCTGTGCGTCTGTCCCCGTCTGCGCTCTCCACCGGGCCGCCTGCCGTCTCCCGCGGGGCCTCCGGGGCCGCTCCAGGGGTCACCCCTGCACAATGATCCCAGTCCTTGCGTCCTGCACGCGGGGCCTCCAGAAGCTGGGACGCTCAGCACGCACCGGGCCGTGTCACCTGCTGCGTCTGCGCATCTGTCCCCGTCTGCGCTCTGCACTGGGCTGCCCGTCGTCTCCCGCGGGGCCTACGGGGGTCACCCCTGCAGAGCGATCCCAGTCCTTGCGTCCTGCACGCGGGGCCTCCAGAGGCTGGGACTCGCAGCGCGCGGGGCCCTGTCACCTGCCGTGTCTGTGCGTGTCCCCGTCTCTCGCGGGGCTGCTCTTGGGGTCGCCTACGCCCGGCGATCCTGGTCCTTGCGTCCTGCACGCGGGGCCTCGAGAGGCTGGGACGCTCAGCGCGCGGGGCTGTCACCTGCCGCGTCTGCACTCCCCTCTGGGCCGTGTCACCTGCTGCGTCTGTCCATGTCCCCGTCTCCCGCGGGGCCCCCGGGGGTCCCCCCCGCACGGCGATCCGGGCCCTTGCGTCCTGCACGTGCGGTCCTCGAGAGGCTGGGATGCTCAGCGCGCACGGGGCCGTGTCACCTGTTGTGTCTGTGCGTCTGTCCCCGTCTCCCGCGGGGCCCCCGGGGATCACCTCCGCCCGGCGATCCGGACCCTTAGGTCCTGCACACGGGGCCTCGAGAGGCTGGGATGCTCAGCGCGCACGGGGCCGTGTCACCTGCCGCGTCTGTCCGCGTCCCCCGGGGGCCCCCTCCCCGCCCGGCGATGCGGGCCCTTGCGTCCCGCCCGCGGGGCCGTGTCGGCTGCCGTGGCCCCCGCGCCGCGGCTACTGGAAGTCCGGGGGCGCGCGCTGCAGCGGCTGCTCGGGGCCGCTGCCCGGCTCGGCGGGGAGGGCGCACAGCGGCAGGCGGCGGGCGCCCGTGTCCTCCACCGGCGGCAGCCCGAAGTCCTTCACGCCGCCCGCGTCCGCGAACTCCAGGTAGAAGTAGCCGCACTTGACGGCCCGGTGCACCTCGAAGCAGAAGCCCAGGCACGAGTCCTCGATGAGGTCCACGTAGATCTCCTGGGCGAGCGCCTCCAGCTGCTTGGTGTCCAGCTCGGCCAGCGACACGTCCTCCATCTTACCGCGCCCGCGCCGGCAGCGGCCGCCGGGCTCCTCGGGCGGCGGGGCCGGGGCGTACGCGGGGCGCGGGGGCCGCGCAGCCCGAGCCTTCGCTGCGTCGCGGCGCCTCCCGGGGGCTGGGACCGTGAGCTCGCGCCGCCCGGACCCGCCGCCCGGACCCGCCGCCGCCGCTGCCGCCGCCGCCAGCTCCTCCGGCCTCTTCCGCCGCCAGCGCCGCAGCCCCGCCCCCCGACTTCCGCTCCTGCGCACTGGCCCGGCGCAGGCTCGCGCGGGCTGCCGGGAAGGCGCGGAGCGGCCGGGGCGGGCCGCGGGCTCCCGGGGACGTGAGGGACCCTCGGCCGAGCGCGAGGCTACTGCGGAGCCGGGCCCTCCGCGCCTTCCACTGCTCTCGGTCGGCTGCTGGGTCGCCGAGGTCTTCCGCAGCGATTCCCGAGACGCAGGGAGACGCAGGGGCGCAGGCGGAGGGGGGAGCGGGCTTCCCGCGGGGACCGGAAGCGGGACTCTAACCCGGGACCCGGGGTCGCGCCCTGGGCCGCAGGCAGGTGCTCCTCCGCTGAGCCCCCCCGGGCGCCCCTATTTTTTTTTTCTTTTAAGATTTTATGTATTTATTCATGAGAGACAGAGAGGCAGAGGCACAGGCGGGAGGGAGAAGCAGGCTTCCTGCGGGGACCGGAAGTGGGACTCTAACCCGGGACCCGGGGTCACGCCCTGGGACGCAGGCAGGTGCTCCTCCGCTGAGCCCCTGGACACCCCTCCTTTTTTTAGATTTTTATGTATTTATTCATGAGAGACAGGCAGAGAGGCAGAGGCACAGGCGGGAGGGAGAAGCAGGCTTCCTGCGGGGACCAGAAGTGGGATTCTAACCCAGGACCTGGGGTCGTGCCCTGGGCCGCAGGCAGGTGCTCCACCGCTGAGCCCCCCCGGGTGCCCTCTTTTTTTAAAAAAATATTTTATGTATTTATTCATGAAATACACAGAGAGAGGCAGAGGCACAGGGAGCCCGTGCAGGGCGCCCGATGTGGGACTCGATACTAGGACCCCGGGGTCACGCTCTGGGCCGCAGGCAGGTGCTCAAGATTTACAAAAGCTAAGTACATAGGGCAAGTTCGCACAGGTAGTAACTGATGGGAGGCAGTCTGGTATCATCATATTTTATGGCTTAGCATATATGGCTATAGGCAGATTCTAATTTATGTCAAAATATGATTATCAGTTTTTGAATGGAGAACATATAAAGGATACAAAAGGCTGCAGGGAAAAATTCTGCCTATATATATAAAAAATTTATCATGCATGAATCTTCGGTAACCTAGGCACCCTATTGAGCCCCCCCCCCGGCGCCCCTAGTTTTTGTTTTTAAGGAAGAACTGGGCACTCTTGTTGAAGACATGATCCACATACACTGATCTGTGAACCTAAAGATAAGGAGCATCACGTCCGTGGGATCACAGGTGCATCAGCGGATACACCTCAAAACTCCTGCGAAGAGAAAATGTATACCTGCAGCATCTTTGAAAGAGGGAGGAAATGTCAGATCTCCTCCTAAAATCCTGTGGCATGAACGTGAGACCTGCCAGGGTCCTGTCTGCCCTGCGTCCGCCCCGCCGCAGCTCTGTCCATCTGCCTCCAAGTACAGCCAGTCTCCCTTGCATGCTGAGGATGAAGTGATGATGCACGAACCATTCTTGCCAGGCCGCACCTTACGGGCGAGCATTCAGTGAATGCCAGCCCTTCTGATCACGTTAGTTCTGGGCTACACTACATTATGATCAAGACACTATAGCATTTCCTTCACTTGTTGCTAGTTTTTTGGTTCCTGCCAAGAACCGCTAAAATATGGTAGCATCTTGTGTTTCATAATTTACCAAAAAAAAAAAAAAATAGCTGTGACTAAAAGGAAAATGTAAAAAAAAAAAAAAGATATGTATCTCTCTGATTCTATGATTTCTTTTCCAGGATACAGGGGGAAAAATGGGCCTATATCTTTCTGGCAGATACATATTAAGTATTTTCTAATGTTTAGGATTATCAATCGCTCGTAAACTATGATTCATTTTCATTAGCTCCCTTCGTAGTTTTATGAGGAGAGGGGTAAGTACCAGTTAGACTTACTTGGTTTCTGAGTAGTTAACCAGTAGTTGTACCCATCCAGATTTTCTGATTGTGTATTTTATCCTAAAAATCACAAATCGGCAGATCTAAAGGATTCTGAAAGCCTACACTATTGAAGATACATGCATGATAATTTTTTTTGTATATAGGCAGAATTTTTTTCCCTGCCTCCTTTGTATCAATTATATGTTCTCCATTCAAAAATTGATATCATATTCTGACATAAATTAGAATCTGCCTATAGGGGATCCCTGGGTGGCTCAGCGGTTCGGCGCCTGCCTTCTACCCAGGGTGTGATCCTGGAGTCCCAGGATTGAGTCCCTCTTCGGGCTCCTTGAATGGAGCCTGCTTCTCCCTCTGTCTGTGTCTCTGCCTTTCCCTCTGTGTATCTCTCATGAATAAATAAATAAAATCTTAAAAAAAAGAATCTGCCTATAGCCATATGCTAAGCCATAAAATGTAATGATATCAGACTGCCTCTTATCAGTTACTATCTGTGGGAACTTGCCCTACGTACTTAGCTTTTGTAAATCTGTTTTCTTATTGCAGTGACATTTCTCATCACAGATTCCTTGTGAGATTTAAACATGACAGTAAATAGAAAAGTCTTCACAAAGTATCCAACAGTGTATAATACTGTATCGCATACCAACTATTGTGATACGTTTAGTTAGGGGGGGAATAAAGATGTAAATAGAATTGCTTCCACTCATCCTTTATCACAGTGTCTGAAAATCTAGTTTAAGACAATGCTTCTCAAACCTTGATGTGCATATAAAACATTCAGAGATCCTTTTAAAACTGCAGACTGTGGTTCCGTAGGTCTCAAGTAGGGTCCGGGTTTCTGCATTTCTAAGGCACTTGGAAGCTGCTGGTTCACAGACCACTTTGAGTAGCAAGGAATGAAAAGGGCTTGATGGTGGACAGTGTTCTTCATGGTGATTGGCTCCTGTGTAATTTGCGCTGGGGAAATTATCATGAGAACCTTTGCGTATTTGATTTTTGTCAGAAGAGAGTAAGAGATTGTTTCTCTGCCCCTTAAATCCTCCTTATGTTGTGCGAGTTGGAACCGAAATCCTCTACTTAATGGGGAAGGGTCATCACTAAAATATACTGCAAAATATATACAAGCAGCTCATCACATTAATTGAAATTCAAATTATCAGGACCGTAGCTGGGTTTTCCTGCCCGTATTTTATTATATTTACCCTTAGAATGGAGACACTATCACACTGTCGAAAGTTTGCTTTGATGTTCGTCATCCCCTTGTTACCTTTCGTCTACTTGTCCCATTTAACTAGATTGCCTTACTTACTGAAATGTACTCAAAGCCTTGTTCAATCAGGGCCATGCCACAAAAAGAAGTTAGAAGAAACCAGAAGTTAGAAGTCCTGTTGCAATTCACAGCGTCGAAGATACTTAAGCCTTTGCTATAAAAATGAAATAAAATAGAATACTCTCTATTTTTTCAGTGCAAAGAAAATAACAGGAATTAATTCTTAAAAAATAAGTGATCTTCAAAGAATACATACATCATTTAGGTTTAGAATATATATGTTGTACTAATTAAGGTACACATTTTGTCTTTGATTAGTTGATAATTTTCTTCCTATTTACTTGTAACATATGTACTGAGAGACCGGCTCTTTCAAAGAGGAAGACATTTTACATATTATCTAATGGGTTTTACCAAGGACTGAAAATCCACAAAACAATTTTTTTTTTAACAGTCACACATTTTTTTTGTGTGTGTTCCCATAAAGTAGGAAAGCGAGATAGCAGAGTGCATCAGGGCTAGGCCTGGGAGCCAAAAGAGTTCAGCTGCTGTCCCATTTCTGCCACTAATTTATCAGGTGACTTTGGGCGAGAAGGTGAATTCACATTTGCAAAAACTGCTAGATTCATGTTTTCTGAATGTTTCTTTTAAAACTAAATTTCCATGAATTGAGGAATCTGAGAAAATCGGTTTCTTCAAGTTAAGGGTCAAGTAAGTTCATATATATTGGCCTGCAAAGTTCAAATGTTAGATCCTCAACTGGGTGACCGAAGGTTTTGTTATTATAAACCAATCTGCTCCACTGCCTAGGGCATCTTGTTGAAGCACCTTGAGGGTTAGGAAGATTATTCATCTACTGAATGCCAGCTGGATATTGTAATTATCTTGCCTAATATCTGAGATGTTACTTGTAGATGTTCATTTTGAACATTTGAAACTGTTCATTTGAACAGTTGAAAATTTTAATTTCTCTAATGATTTCGATGCCTACGAAATCCACTCTTACTTATAAAAATCAGCATTTTACTTGTTTTTCTTTACTTACCCAGGTATTTAAAAATAAGCGAATAGTAAATCAGAGAAGGAGGCAACATATGGCGGTAGGGTCTTCTTACTTTCCCTGGACCATGATTTATGTCCGCAATAAGCTATGTAGTACTATGCCTTCTTGTCAGCAGTTTGCTAGGAGAAATGTTTGCTTGAAGTTTCAAATTCATTCTCTACCAAAATCCGTATTTCAGGATTTGCATTTAAAAACTGATTATCATGCCTTGCATGAGATTTGGAGATGCCACAGTTTGATATTAGATAAGGATGTCATGCTCAAATTGCAATGTCTAAAATAAATTTACAATTTTAATCTTCCCTGCTAAACTGTGGAATCAAGGTGACTCAGTGAATTTTGGCATTTATGACAACTCTGGCTTATGATCTTCTAGAGGGACAGACACTATAATCCTGAGCTAACTACAGTTAGTAAGTAGTGTAGGATACTAATGCAGATTTTGGTGCTTAACATAATACATCCTTTTTAAAACAGTGGATCTTTCTATATATCAATTGTTCTGAGCCAGTTTGATCTACAGAAGGGCTCCAGAGGCTTTCTGAAGTTATTTCTATATATTTATAATACAGAAATATGTTTTAGAAAACATCTTAATACTTTTAAGATTACACTGCCCTGTGGGTTATAAGCTATTTCTTAATGTATATATATTTTATATATATAATAATGTTGCTGGACCCTCTCTGTCTGGGAGGATGTGCAGGGTGGTGCAGAGAAGGGCATGTTTGC